CTTCTCGTATCTCTCTTCGCGAGACCTATAGACTATAGGGACGGTAGAGGAGTCGTTTTTTAATATCGTTATAAAGAGAGAAGGGGTAGAAAAGTCGGTTAAAATCGGCTTTTCTAGTAAGAGGGGTAAAAGGAATCTACGAAGGATATAAGAAAGGTGCTTTTTATAGTAGCTAAAAGGTATAGGAGTTCTATTCCTCCTAGGCTTATAACTCTTATAAAGAGAGATACGAGAAGTATATAAAAATATATAAAGGTAAAATTAAAAGTAAGGGGTCGGATAGGCAGGGCAGAGAGATTTAATTCTTATAGGGGTAGTAATTATAGTAGGGGAATAATTATTATATTTCCTTAATTCTTCTTCTTTCCTCTATCTAACGCCCCTCTTTATACCCGTCTAGCATCTTAATTAATAAAGAAGATCCTACTTAAAGAAGCTACTAATATCCTTTTAACTATTAAGCTTTTTACTAGTTTTTCCCCTCTTTTCTAGCCGTTGCCGGAATATCCGTCTTATCTCTCGCTACCTCTATAGGAAGCTATCGCTACTTCTACTTCCCCTTATACCCCTACCCTCCTTTCTATACCTCTTTTTAGCTCCTTCTTCCTTCTTCTACACCGGGTATTTTTAGCTTCCTTAGTCCCTCTTACTAAGGGATATCTCCGAGAACTACGAAATTAAGCTACGCTTCGCGATAGCGGCGCCGGCGGTGCTAGTAGTAGTAGTAAAAGCAGCGGCGGTAGAGGTAGTAAGGGCGGCTAGGGCAGCGGCGACGGTGCCTTTAAGAGAGAGGGAGTTAGCGTAGTAGAGAGTATAAGTAAGGGAGCTTATATACTTAAGTATAAGGGCGGCGCGCTTAAGGAACTATAAGTTATAGTAGGCGGCGGCGGTAGCGGTTAAGGCGCGCTTAGCTTTATTTTAGTCCTTACTTAGCTCCGTAGCGCTTTAAGCTATAGTAGTATAGGTAAGGATAAGCAGCGTAACCTTATAGGTATAGCTAGCCTAGGTATATAGGAAGTAGCTACCCTAAGAGCGGCCGGCTTAGTCGGTATAAGGGAGGGACTATAAGGTATACTATATATAAAGGGAATCGCGGTAAGCGCCCTAGCCTATAGCGCGCTTATATTAATATAGGGAGTTAGTAACGATTACGCGAATAAGGGCGGAGGGGCTTATAGAGGAGGGCGGCGAGGACCCGCGTTTATTATTATTATTATTATCGTTATTATCGCAGCGGCCGGTAGCGGAGAGCGTAGCGGGAGCGGCGGCGGCGCGGGTAGTAGAGTTAACGGCTAAGAAGCTAGGTAGCGGGTAGCGCGGAGCCGTCGCGGGCGCGACTAGGGCGGCGGGGGTAATAGGAGGGGTAGCGGGCGAGGCAAGGGCGCGGTCGATAAAGTCGTTAATCTTAATAGAGAAGTAAGATAAAGTAAAGGAGGATATATTAAATTCTTTAAATAACTAATAAAGGTATAAGTTAGCTTATATATAAGCGGTAGTATATAGCTAAGCGCTAGGAGACTTATAGTTATAGTTATAGCTACTACTATTAATACTAATAATAATAGTATAGTTAAGAGGAAAGAGTAATAAGGGCGCGCTAATAAGTTATTTATTTCTTAGCTATACGCTAAGGTATAGGATTAATATTATAAGGGACCGCTTATAAAAAGAAAGGTAGGGACCTTATATAAAGGTATTTACCCTTAATATAGGTCTAGGTATTAGCTTAGACCTTAGCCGATAACGTTATAAGGTAAAGTAAGCTATATATATAAATCTATATTTAGTAGCGGTAAGTATAGCGTATAATTAGATCCTATATAGCTTATTATTATAATATAATAAAAGGTACTTATAGTAAGACCCTTTACTTACCTTATAATACTTAGCTAGTATTAGCTTACTAAGCTTTAATGCCCGCTTTTATATTAAAGCTAAGCTTTTCCCTTTACTTTATATATAGTAAAAGTTCCTTTATTTCTTTTATTATTAGATTCTAATAAGGTATAAGTAACCTATATCTTTATTAGCCTCCTTATTAAGAGGTAGGGGTAAGACCTAACTATATATATACTTACGCTATAATATATATAGTGGCCCTCTTTATATTATTTATTAATTTCCTTATAAGGTACTTACTTAGCTATCTTACTAAACTATACTACTAGCGGAGTAGCTAAGGTCTTATTATTACCGCGCCCCCTTAAAGTATATAGCCGCTATCTAAATATCGCTATCTATATCGACCGCTAACTTAAGAGCGGGCCTAGGTATAGATAGGTTAAGTAAAGAGAAACTATCTAGCCTATTAGTCCCGCTTAAGGCTAAGCGCTTATATAGCTTTTAAAAGTATAGCATTTACTTATATCCTTAGGCTACCTTTATAAGGTAGGCTATATAGCCCTTATAAGTAAAGGGTATTATAATAGGGATAAGTAGCTCTTAAAGCGCTAAGGAGATTAAGTTTTATAGCTAGGTAAGCTTAGCGCTATCTTTTTAGGCGGTATTACCCGCCGCCTAAGTTAAGGTCTCTTTAAATTCTAGTAAGAACTCCTTAAAGGACTACCCCTCTTACTAAGTAAGGGTCTATAGCTTATCCTATACCTTCTCTTACTCTTATATATTGCCGAAGGTATAGACTAGGTAGTTAAAGAATACTTAAGGGTCTTTCGTCCCTTTAAGACCGCCCCGCTCTTAAAAGCGCGCTACTTACTATATCTAGGGCTCTAGTAGTATATAAAGGAGCGAGAACTAAGCTATCTCTTTATAGCTATTAAGGCCTTATTTCTTATTAATATAGTATTTTACTATTAAGCGGTTAAGGAAAAAGTAAAAGGTCTTTAGCTTACTATCTTAGGTAAGCTAAGGTAGTAGCTTCTATCTACTAAGGGCCGCCTTACGCTCTAACCTCTTAGTAGCGGGAGGCATATTTATTAGAGCTAGCGTTAAGAGGGTATTAAGGATCTAGTATAGGGTTACTTACTAGTCTAAGTCTTATAATATCTAGTAAAATAGCTTTATAAATTAAGCTTATTTATCTTATTACTACTAAGCTTTCTTTTTATAAGTATTACTAATATAGCTCTTTTACTTATTACTATAGCTATTAGTACTAAGCTTCTTCCTATAATAGCTACTACTACTACTACTACCTTAGCTAGTACTACTAAGGTTTTAATATTAAGTCTAATATAAAGATAGCTTATACTATTATAAGGTAAGTAAAGGGTTATACTATAGGTGCCTTCTATTATATTATAATAATAAGCTATATAGGATCTAACTATACGCTACGCCTACCGCTACTAAATACGCGTTTATACGTACGGCCTACCCTGCCCTATAACGCTATCGGCTAAGGTCTAGGCTAATACCTAGACCTATACTAAGGGTAAATACCCTTATATAGAGTAGGTAGAAGTATATACGTAGGTGCCGTCTATATAATAATATTAATAAGCTATATAGAGCGGCGCCCGGGCGCATCCTTAATATGCGTGGTTAATTAACGAAGCTGTCGCTTGGTCAATTTCCGTCTTCTTTTACCCGCACGCATACTTTTCGGCCTCTGCGTGGCAGAGGGGTCAGTAGCATGACCACTGCTTTAGCCCTCCGGGCTAAGACCCTGACATCTAGCTGACATTAACCTAGTATATACCGTCACTTTTTAAGAAGAGCCTAGCTAATATTAATAGACAACTAGACCTTCCTATTAGGAAGAAAGTAGTTACTAACTAGGGGGTAGGTAGACTACCTTCTTTATTATAACCTACGTCGGGATACTATCTCCTTTGTCTTCTATTTTGCGCCTATTTCCTTACAACTAGCCGCAAGGGGGTGTGTCAGACTAAGCAGACTAAGAGATTGGAGTCATGCCCAGCGGGGCCAAAAGGGGTCTGCCTGACCAACCTAACTCTCCTAGCAAAAGGACATAATGCAGGCCTGACTTAGGTATAGGGATATCCTAATGCCCTCTTCTAGCTAGCGATCTATGGTATCTATACCTATATAAGCCCCGCGCTCGTCCTAATAGATAGACCAAAACATGCATCACTAAATTCACCTTTCTGAGCCTCTATTCCTTCCACTGTGCTCTCTAGCCCCTGCTTGAGAGTAACCATCCCGAGTGGCGGGTGGCAGAGCCTGCGCGGTCATGGAGCGGGTTGGCATAGTGCCAGGCATTTGTATTCCACGTTGGCAATCACCTTCTGGATATTCACCAAGATTTCTTGTTCATCTTCCGGAACAGTCTCGACACCTCCGTGAGCAACCGTGTTCAGCCTGGCCTTCTTTGCGCCGCAATGGACTTTTCGTCGGCAAAGCATCGTCAATGCCTTCGGCAAGCGCAATTTCCCCTCCCTTATTGGGGCCACGGTGCTTGTGTATCTACAAGTAATTGTAAGCAGACTCAACGAGCAGCTCAGCCTGGGGAACAGGCAGGCGCCCGCCCGGTTGGACGTCACTCGGGTCACCAAGGTCAGCATCGCGCCCGTCATCGTTGCTGCTGGGGGCCTCTCTCTCCTGGACCAAGTTCTCTGGCGGCCTCAATGGCGCCTAAGTGTTTAATACACCTTCTAATACCGCCCCTGTCTCGAATTCGTTATTGTTGCTGCCTCTTTTGCCGGCATCATGGGCTGCTTGGGATGGATATCAGCATTTCTCTTCTCGAGGAGAGGACCGAAAGACGGGTTTTCGGAGACTATCCTGGAGGTCGACGTGCATTTCTAGATATACTGAAGACGGCTCGCTGTATTGACTACAAGGAAAGTGAACGAACGAGGACGGGGAGAGGAAGAGAGTTGGCAAGCGAGAAGTCGAAATACAGTGTGTATACAGTATTGCACACTGTCCGAAGGGCGCTGCTTACATGCGCTGATAAGGCACTCCGGCCATAGTGGACAGAGTACAAAGAGCCCTACACTCTCCCCCCTCCCCCTTCTCCCTTCGGCTTCTCCTCTTCCTCTCACATACATTACACAGTAACGCACACATCACCTGAAATGGCCCATCCCTCGACTTGCCCGCCCCTGACACGCGAGTCGGTGCTGGAGGCGCATCGGCTGGTTGCACCGCACGTGCACCGGACACCCGTGGTCACTTGCCGGACCTTGTCGGAGCTGGCGTCTCGGCCCCGCTCCCCCGCCGACCTCGCCGGCACCCCGTGGGCCGGCCGCACCCCGGCCCGGCCCCGCTTCCGTTTGTGGTTCAAGTGCGAGAACTTGCAGCGTGTTGGTGCTTTCAAAGTGCGCGGCGCCTTTCATGCCCTGTTAAGGCTCATGCGTGAGGAGGGCTGGCTTGAGGGCGGTGGCCGAAGCAATGGAGTTGTGACGCATAGCTCAGGCGAGTCTAGTCTTTTTCCTCCTCCGTCGAGTCTTACGGGCTAATTTCATGGGCTTGTCCCTGTGATTCCTCGTCCTCCTTCCCGGACTTGGTTTCATATCTGCCGCCTTTCTGTCCTAAAGGCAACCATGCTCAAGCACTCGCCCTCGCGGCGAAAGAACTAGGCCTCCCGGCCCACGTCGTTATGCCAAGCATCTCGGCGACGCCCAAGATTGCCGCAACGAAAGACTACGGCGCCAACGTGGTCTTCTCCGGCAGCACGAGCGAGGAGCGCGAGGCCGTGACCGCTCGCGTCATGGCCGACACGGGCGCCCGCCTCGTGCCCCCTTACGATCACCCGGACATTATCCTGGGGCAGGGCACCATGGGCCTCGAGCTGCAGGACCAGGTCCGGGAGCTTATCGGGGAGGAAATGAAGGCCAAGGGGGGTGAGGGCGCGACCGCTGGCACGGGAAAGGGGACCGACGGCCTCGACGCCATCATGACGCCCTGTGGCGGAGGAGGCATGCTCTCAGGCGTCGGCCTCTCATGCGAAGGAACAGGCATCCTCGTCTTCGGCGCTGAGCCGTCTTTCCAAGGCGCCGACGACGGCCGCCGCGGGTACTATTCGCATCAGCGCGTGGAGGCCGTCTCGAGCCTGACTATAGCTGACGGCCTACGGACCCCCGTGGGCCACCATCCGTGGGCCATCATCCACGATCGCGGTCTCGTCTCGGGCATGTTCAGCGTCTCCGAGGCCGAGATCCTCGCCGCCATGCGCCTCCTCTTCGAGCGCGCCAAGCTCTTTGTCGAGCCCAGCGCCTGCGTCGGCCTCGCCGTCGCCCTCTTCAACGAGGACTTTCGCGCGACGGTTGAGCAAAGCGCCGGCGATCGCGGCTGGGATCTTGGGCTTGTCTTGAGTGGTGGAAACGTCGGCCTTGACGCGCTGTCTGCAATGTTTGCCGAGGAGCTGCGGCCATAGTCCGTCTCGTTTCAAACTCTTGTTCTCTCCGGTTTCTGGCTCCCGTGCTTCATGGCCGGCGCCAGGAGGCATCGCCATATACATATAGGCTAGGGCTGGTGATGTTTTGAAGAGTCATTGGCCACGCCATGCAATGTACAGAAGCAAGTTATTTCCAGGCTCATGCTTTTGTGACCCTCCTTCACTTGGACTCCAAATGCAAGATGCGTAAAAGTCAACCAACTCCGTCGCTGTTGATCCCCCCCTTTCCCCCTCCCCTTTTTGCACGTCTCGCCTCACATACTCTTCAAAGCCTCGTCCATATACTGGCGCCACCGCCGAGCATTCTTCCTCAGCATCCATATGCCGAGGTATCCGGCGGCCATGCAAAAAAAGCAGATAGCGGTGAATACCCAACCAGTTCCCACGGCGTCAATCCACGGCGCTGCGACAACGGTGCCAATGCAGCTCAAAATATTCCGCACAAAATTGTTTACCGCAACGCCGGCAGAGCTTTTTTTCTTTACGAATTCGGTGAGCATGGTGGTGGCCGTGGCCTGCACGGCGATCCGAAATGCGTCAGTAACCCTGGTCCGTCTAGACCGACGTGCTCGACAGCGCTTCCCCCCTCTCGTTCCGATGGGATAGTGGCAATGGATGGGTGAGAGACTTACAAATACCAGCATGGAGGAAACGCCAAAGAGAAAACTTCCTATGGACGGCACGATCCAGACGACGCCGTACTGCAGCGTCCACCCAAAGAGCAGCAGCCCGAGGGGATACAGGGTGTTGGCCAGCCATATGTTCTCCCGCATGCGGTCCTCGGGCAGGTATATCAGCTTGCCCTCATCGTCGTACCGGTTCGCCTTTTTCGCCTCCCTCGCCATGATGTTGTCGATCCACTTGCCGCCAAAGAGGGATGCGGAGAAGTAGCCCAGCCCCGGCGGAATGTACAGCAGGCCGACAATGACTTGCTTGAAGGCGTAGGGGGGCTCCGAGAACTTTTGCTGGATGGAGACATTGGCGACGAAAAGGGCACCAAAGGCAATGGCAGCGACGAGCACCGTGATGAGCACGGGCGGGAAGCGCAGGAAGAGCAGGACGGCGAGCGGGTCGACGAGGACGCGCCTCACGCCCCGGGCCAGCTTCTTGGTCTTGAGCTTTGCCGACGCCGCCGTCGTCATGCGGCTCAGCTCTACCGGCTCCGGCTCGTCCTGCCCGCGCTTGGCCAGCGTCTCGGGCAGCATGAAGAAGAGCAAGACGAAGATGACGGCGCCGTAGATGGCGAGGAAGTACATGGACGCCTGCCACCCAAGCGACTGGGCCAAGGCGCCCCCGACTATGGGGGCGATGAGCGGGCCGAGCAGCGGACCGAGGTAAAAGGTACTCATGGCCCGTCCGCGCTCGTGCGACTCCCAAATGTCGGCAATGGTGCCGGCGCCGACGGCCTGGACGCTGGCGGAGGCGCCGCCGGTGAGGACGCGGAAGACGATGAGCATGGAGATGTTTGTGCTGACGGCGCAGAGGACGGAGAAGACGACGAAGAGGGAGAAGGAAATCAGGTAGATGGAGCGGCGGCCGAATTGCTCGGGAAAGGAGGACCACCAGAGGGGGAAGATGGACATGGAGATCATGTACATGGCGACGGTGAGGTTGGTGATGGTGGGCGACACGTTGAGCTCTTTTGACAGGGCGGGCAGCGCAGCTACAGGGTTGGCAGTTGCGTGAGCTTCATACTGGACCAGAACCACAGCAGCCGAGGAGGGCAGGGCGGGACAGGAGTGGAAGGGGGCGGAGACCTCACGGTAAAAGATGGCGGAGCCGAGAGGAGCGGCAATGGTGGCAAAGGCAATGGTCGCCGTGATGCCCCATTTAGTCGAGTTCTCGTAGTCGTAGGGCCTCTCGACCTCGGGAACGACTGTGAAGCGGCCAAACAACCCTCGTCTGCGTGCGCGGGGCACGATGGTCAGCGGACGCGAGCGGGCCGAGGAGGCGCGGGAGACGGGGCGGGAGGCGAGCACGGCGCCGACATCCTCGGCTCCCGAGGGCAAGACGGTGCCGGCGGGCAAGACAGGGGCAGGGCCATGGTGATGTCGCGGCAGGGCCTTTTCCTCGTCGTTGTCATGCGCCGGACCCGAGTCGGTGGAGGTGTTGCCGGAGACGGACCGGGGCGAGGAAGAGCGGGGCGGGATGTGGTTGCCGCGGGCTGTGGCGCGGTCGCCGCCGCTGCTGCTGCTACCGGCGGGCCGGGGGGCTTTTTCGTCGAGGTCGGCGGACATGGTGGTGGTACCGCGCCGGGAAGGGGGTCCCTGTGCGACAGGTTGTCGTCTCGAGTCCTCCGGGGGGCTGTCTTTACTTGACCGGCTGTTGCCCGGGCGAGCAGGTCACACAGACACAAAGGGGGGAGGGATTGTAGGCTGGTAGAATCTGGCTACCGGAACCAGACCAGTAGTACCTCAGTGCCGTATATGACGAGGACGGGGGAGGCATGGGTTTCATTGTAGCAGGCGGGAGAGAAGGGAGAGAAAGAGAACAAGGAGGGCAGGAAAGGAGCACACGATGGGATGGCCGAGGCATCATGGAAAGCTGTCAAGAGAGGGTGCCGAGGTCAACCAACGGATGCGTAGCCTCTCACGTAAAACGACCCGAAACCGGGCCCCTCTGGACTCTGGAGCATGCGGCCCGTGGGAGGAAACCGGAAATAGCCAAAGCGGCGACAGAGGGGGCGCGCAAAACCCGGACCCACATGCGGCAAGCACGGGCTCTTCATTGGGCCGGCGCGCCGAGCGCCGGCCTGCGTTGGCGCGTGCAGGAGTACTGGGCACTCGCTCTTTGCCTGTCTGGTGCACCATCGCGGCGTGTACAGTCTACGGCGGGCGGGCGGGCCGTGTCTGCCTGGTGACCAGCGTTGTGGCCGGCAGGCACGGTGGGGCGGGATGGCGATGTGGGGCCGATCGGCGTCCGACTGCGGAGCGCCGAAAGGGGAAGACGGGACATGTCATTCGCCGACACAGGCATGTACAGACGTATGTAACTTATACAGAGTATGCTGTACGAATGTTTGCTAGTAGACGCGCGCAGACATGGACGGCGAGCAGGTGAAATTCGTCGTCAACACGAATACACCCGTCGTGGACTGCATTGCATGTCTGCCCTGTGCTCCCATCATCGCGGTGCCTTCTATTCAAGCCACTGCCGCTGCATGCCTAGGATAGACCAAAACGGGCTGACAACCAGGAATCAGTCGACGACCCCGCAATCTTTGTTGTCAGGCAAGCCCAGTTGAAAACATTAAAGTAGAAAGCAGTAAAGGCTCAAATTGTCATTTTTCCAAGTCAGTTCTTCACCTCTCGTGAGCCTCCGAAAGCCCATGGGCGCCATCGCCGGTCCGGCCCGGCCTCTTAGCCTTGCTGCCCCCCCGCGGCGGGGCACACTTGGGCCCCAAAAACCCCTCGGACAATCTCGAGCAGCTTCAACAAAACAACCACCCAAAGCCCGAGGTCACCCAGCAGCCTAACCCTCAGCTCGGAACGCGCCCGTAGCAGCAATCATCAACCCCAACCCGCTCAATCAACGCCCATCACCGCTGCTGCGGCGGCGGCGTCGTCGTCGCCTCCATCCTCCCGACCGCCCCCCCCTTCTCAGCTCCTCCCTCCGTCTCCCCCCCAACTCCCGTCTGAGCACAAAATGTCCCTCACAAACGCCTCGGCCGACGCCGCCGCCGCCGCTGCAAAGACAGCCTCGTACACGCTCGCCTCCCTCGCCGCGACCGACCGCAACGCCGCCCTCGACGCCGTCCACGACGCCCTTGCCCGCGCCCGCGACGACATCCTCGCCGCAAACGCCCGCGACCTCGACAACGCCCGCGCCGCCGCCGCCGAGGGGGACGCCCAGGCCCAAGCCCTTGTCTCGCGGCTTGATCTGGGGAAGAAGGGCAAGTGGGAGGATATGCTGCGCGGTATTCACGATGTGCGCGACCTCGATGATCCAGGTGAGCGGCGTTCGCGCCTCGGGCACCGACGAGATGTTGACCTTGTTGGCAGTCGGCCGTGTCCAGATGCGCACCAAGCTCGACGATGACTTGACTCTTGAGCGTGTCTCGTGCCCCATTGGCGTCCTTCTCGTCATCTTCGAGGCCCGCCCCGAAGTCATCGCCAACATAGCCTCCCTTGCCATCAAATCAGGCAACGCCGCCATCCTCAAAGGCAAACACACACGCCCAACCCCCCTCCTTTCTGCTCGTTCCGCCATACTGACTCCCTCCTTCGTCTCCAGGCGGCAAGGAGTCCACAGAATCCTTCGTCGCCATCGCCAGCGTCATCTCCTCGGCCCTCGACGCCACCGCCGTCCCCAACGCCGCCATCCAGCTCGTTACCACCCGCGACGCCGTCGCCCAGCTCCTCGCCCAGGACCGCTACATCGATCTCGTCATCCCCCGCGGCTCAAATGACCTGGTCCGCCACTGCAAGGACTCGACAAAAATTCCCGTCCTCGGCCACGCAGACGGCATCTGCGCGATCTACCTCGCCGCCGACGCCGACCCGCAAAAGGCCGTGACCACCCTCGTCGACGCAAAGACGTCATACCCGGCCGCCTGTAACAGCGTCGAGACCCTCCTCGTTCAAGACACGGCGCTTCCCAGTCTTCTCCCCGCCGTTGCCACCGCCCTCGTCGCCGCCGGCGTCTCCCTCCGCTGCGATGCCCCCTCGCGCGCCGCCCTCGCCAACCTGCGCAACGGCAGCGACGGCCTCATCCGCGACGCCGTCCCCGCCGACTACGACACCGAGTTCCTCTCCCTTACTCTCGCCGTCAAGACCGTCTCGACCCTCGACGACGCCATCGCCCACATCAACACCCACGGCTCCCACCACACCGACGCCATCCTCACCGCTAACCCCGCCGACGCTGAGCGCTTCATGAACCGCGTCGACTCGGCTGGCGTCTACTGGAACGCCTCAACCCGCGTCGCCGACGGCATGCGCTACGGCTTCGGCACAGAGGTCGGCATCAGCACAAATAAGATCCACGCCCGCGGGCCCGTCGGCCTCGAGGGCCTCACCATCTACAAGTACAAGCTCAGGGGCGACTACCAGGCCACGGCCGCGTACGGTGAGGGCGAGGGCAAGAGGCGCTGGAAGCATGAGGCGTTGCCGCTGTAATGGATTTTAACTGCCTTGGCTGTTGATGTGCCTGGCTGGTGAGGGTTGTACGTCGGGCATCCACGTATGCGGCGGCGAGCGTTGCAATATCATGATTTGACAGGCGCTGGAATATCTTGGACAAGAGCAAAGGAAGCATGACACATTACAAGGTCTCATTGCGCAGACGTCCAAAAGCTAGCCCACCCATAGGCTAGCCCACCCATTTTGATAGTCCCTCCGGCTGTGCAATCTGGCCATGATTCCGGGACCGAACGAACAACCTTGCTGCACCGTCTGACCTGACAAGCTCGTCCCAACCTCGTCGCCACCAAAAGTACATTGTCTATATTCATACCGCATCCCGCGTGTTCCCTACGAGTTCATGTCAAACTGCTTGATCATCTCCGCCAGCTTGTTGCCCTCCGCCTTGAAGTCCAGCAAGGACGCATTCATGACTTGGTACCGCACTCTGCATCGTAACGTCAGTTTCCAAGTGAATTGCAACAGGAATGATGACAAGGGGGGTTCAGGCACCAAAAAAATACTCACCTCTGCGTGTCCCCGTAATTGTCCATCTTGGCCCGGCACCGGAAACTCAGCTTCTTGCAATTCACCTCCTCAAAGGCCGCCATGAACTTGACCTCGTCATTCTCCCTGAGCTCCATAAGCTCGTTGGCCGTCTTGCCAAAGATCATGTTGCCCGTCTCGTCGAAGCAGCTGAGCCACTGGTGGCTGGTGTGGTCGGCCACGTTGAGCGACATGATGAAGCGGTAGTTGGGCTTGTCGTGGGAGACGTTGCACTTTTCGCAGTGCCAGGTGCCGTCGCCCATCGACGTCACCTTCTTGTTGCAGCCCTGTGACGAGCAGGCCGGGTAGCAAAAGTTGTCTTGCTTGACAAAGACAATGGTGGCCTTGATGGAGTAGTAGGCCATGTCGTCGACGCCCAGGTTCTCCTCCTTGACCTGCGCAATCGTCTTGATCTCGTCCTTGCGCCCCGTGGCGCCGCCCATGGTGGCCAGACCCTGGTGCGTGGAGAAGGTGTCGGTGCGGCCGGCCGAGTCGTACCAGCCCTTGAGTCGGTGGGCGTCGGGAATGTCGGGGTCGACCGTCATGGTCCCCGAGGACAGCAGGCTCAGGCTCTTGCCGCCAAAGTCGGACACCTTTGTGCCCTTGAAGGCCACGACGGACTCGGGATTTGCATCAAACGAGTTTGCCGTCTTGCCCCATACCGTGACGCGCACCGAGTAGCCCGTGTCGTCGACGAGAGTGAGCTCGCGCTTCTGAAACGGCCGGCCGTCCTTTTTGGATGTGATTTCGCTGACCTCTCCCACCTCCTTGAGCACGCCGATGACGTCGACCGTGTTGTCCTTTTCGACGCCCTGCAGCTGTTGGATGGTGCAAAAGTTGAAGCGCACCTGGGGCACGCTTGTCTGGTCCTCTGCCTTTTCGACGACCGTGTCGCGCTCAAAGGTGAGCTCGTAGTCGTTGGGCAGGTTGGTGAACTGCTTCTTGGCAATGTTGACGCGGCAGGGGCTGGAGATGTAGTAGACGGAGCCCTCTTGCAGGACGTCGTAGAAGGCGTCGCACTGGTCGTTGAAGGCGGTGGCCTTGATCTCGCCGCTCTCGTCGAGGAGGTTGACGCTGAAGAGCTTGCCCTCGCCCGTGGCCTTGTGCCACGTCTTGATGTCCGACTTGAGCGAGACGCGGGCCTTGATGGTCCACTTGTGGGCAAAGGGCGACAGGCCCTCGATGGGATAAATGGTGGCGCCGGCGTGGGTGGCGGGCCGCGAGGGCATCGACTGCTGCGTCTTGGGCTCTTCCTTTTTGGCGCCGTAAAAGTCGTTGCCGGCGATTGTTGATTCAGCGGGACCCTTGGAGTCGACGGCGACGGGCTCGCCAATCTTCTCCTGGACACCAAAGGACTCGATGACTTCGAGGTCGAGGATGACGAGGATGCTGCGGGGGTCAGTTGACCGTGAGAGCCGAGGGGATGGGGGAGCGCACTTTTTGCCCTTGAGGTTGTTGGGGGTATACTGCTTGACGCGGGCCAGGCAGCCTCGCGTCAGCTTGCCATCGTGGACGACGTGGTTTGCCTGGGTGGCGAGCATGGTCTGGACGTAGTGTTGGCCGTCGCTCATGACGAGGCGATAGCGGTCGCCGCCCTGGGCAGAGGGAGCCATCTGCTTGACCTGCAGACACTGCATGACGGGGACGGGGAAGAGCTTTGCGGCCTTGTCGGGGTCGTTGAATATGGCACTGGAAAGAGGTTGGGTCAGCTCGACGATGCGTCACCAGCAGGGGGGGACGAACTCTAGAGCGCCTCGGGAGAGGGCAGATGCGGCGTCCATGGCTGACTGTGATGAGCTTTCCTTGACGGCGGGCGTCTACCAGTCTACCAGTGTATGGATTTGTCGAGATTTGGCGTAGACACGAGGCTGTGTGGGCGTAGAGACCAAAAGATGACGTTCTCTCGTCTACCATGGAGCGGTCGTGTTGCTCAAAGTTCGCGACGCGTCCAGCGCGTTTAGTGGGTGGAGAAAGAAAAGAGCCCCGCGTGGCGGCATAGTGGCGGGGTGTCTCGCTGATGTAATCCGCCATGCACATGCGGTACTGCGGACCCTGAGAAACTGGAGCTTCGAATGCGACACCTGGTCTCGATGCCATGGAACAAGTGCATCGTTTTGCAGGGCGATGTGCAGCTGTAAAGAGTTCCAAGCTGCTGCTGCCATTGTTTTCGTCCAAATTGTCTCGTCCAAAGAGTTCTGGAATGTCTTGGAAACCCAAGGTGCAAGCCAGTACCTACACACATCGGTAGTAGGTGCGTGTGCCTGAACTCCCCTGTAGTTGTTGGCCTCCACGTGGTGGTGGTGGGGTGCTTCGTGACGACGCTCCTTCTGGAAACCAACTTGGAATGCCCCTCTCGCCAACCAACCTGAATCACCTCCTCCATTCGGCCGCCCTTGAACATGGCTGACGCAGGCAACGCGACCAAAGCCCCTGAGAGCGACTCTCACCTGGACGACCGGCAGACGACGGCTGCTCCCGACGACACCCAAACGGCGTCGATAGTAGGCGAGCACTGCGTGACGGACCGCCCAACTCGTACGCACTCCTTGCTCTCTCTCGTACCGAGCCCTGGCTGACCTCGCCCTCGCTGCAGCCATCGGCCAGTCCTCCACCGGCGAAATATTCAAGCTCAACGACATCGACGTTCGTCACTCCAAGACTCTCGAGCCCGCCATGATAGCGTTGACTCTCTCTCTCCCAGGTCTACATCTCCAAGCCCGCCGATTACCCTCATGCCCCCGCGCGTCTCCTCCTCCTCCTTACCGGCGGCACCGGCATTCGCTCCACCAACAACCAGATCCAGGCCGACAAGTATGCCTCGGCCGGCTTCCTCGTCCTCATGCCCGACCTCTTCGGCGGCGACACGGCGCCTGCCACTACCGCCATCGTCGACGATTCCCCATCGCTGCTCGAGCAATTCAAGCTCAAGACCTTTGAGGCAATGAAGTCTTTCATGACTGACATGTGGCTTGCGCGGACCACAGCGGACAAAGTGATGCCCATCCTCCATAGGGTGATTGACGCCGCCAACGAGCAATACCCCGATGCCGTCAAGCAGGGTGGCGGCATCTACGCCGTCGGCTACTGCGTCGGCGGCAGGTTTGTCCTGCTGCTGGCCAAGCAATCACAGGAACAGGGCGACGGTGAGGAGAGCGCGGGGGCCCTCGCAAAGGGGCCCTACATCAAGGCCGGAGCGCTGGCGCATGCGGCATCTGTCACGCCAGACGATTTCAAAGATCTCAAGGCGCCCCTAAGCTTGGTGTGCATTGAAGACGACCCTCTGTTTCCGGATGCGGTGCGGTCTGCCGGTGAGGATGCCATGTCCGAGGCGAATCTGGAGCACCAAGTCCAGGTCTACCCGGGCGTGCCGCACGGTGAGTTTGTCCCCAGCTTTTGCTGCTCCGTTGGCGAGCTGTAAAGGCCTGCGCTGACGCTACAAAGGGTTCGCTGTCGTGGGCGCATATGCCAACCCCTCCATCGGGGATGCCCAAGCTACGGCCTACGAGCAGATGCTGAAATGGATCCAAGACCATTGACGCGGAACGGGGGAGACGATGGCCTCGATTTTGTCTTTTATATGCGGCGGGTAGCGGTTGCCATTACTTGATTTCTTGCCTTTACTCTGTTCTTCATGCTGCGGTGACTGAGATGCCCCTATCAAGTGCCTTGTGTCCACAACAACCCATCTGTCCAACAGAAGAGGGAAGGAAAAGAAACAGGAAACCCTGCATACATTCTTCTGAGTAAACAGAGGTGTCAACGCCAAACATGCTCAAACCACTTCGTAAATGTGGGTTACACATCCCGTGTAGAGGGCCCTCGTGAACTGGCCAGCCCGAGATAATGTGACAAACAGAGCCCGTGCTCAGCGTGCAGACTCAACCTGGTCAACAAGAACTGAGGGTTCAAACACGTAAAACGACCTCGATGATTAGCCTCTCCAAGTTCCGTGCATGGCTCTGGTGAGAAAGAAACTCTGCAACCTATGCTCGACGAGAGAGCATGGCAAAGCAGTCACCATCTTGCGATATTACGAACGGGTTGGATCGAGAAGTACATCAAAGGGGGGGGGCAAGGGGGCCCTTAGAACGGCCCCCCTTTCTTCCTTGGCATATACATCTGCGCATGGTGGCTCGACCATTACTATACGGATGGATAGCAGGCGCAGTACTCTGGTCTGTAGAGAAGTTACGGAATGGTGCACACGATTTTGCCCGAGTTCTGGGCCTGCTCCATGTGGGCATGGGCCTCCTGGATCTGCTCCCAGGGCAGCACCTTGTCAACGACAATCTGCAGGTGGCCTGCCTCAAAGTCCTGCATGTACGACTCGAGCCTATCACGCAGCCTGCCCTGGTACTCCTCGTCGCGGCTGCGCAGGGTGCTTCCCTCGATGCGGATGCGCTTGTAGAGAATGGGCGAAATGTCGGCGCCGTCGGGGAGCTTGCCGCCACTCAGGGTGCCGAGCAGGACGATGCGGCAGTCACGCGCGGCGGCGTCGAGGTTCTTCTGGAAGTAGTCGGCGCCGACAAAGTCGACAATATAGTCGACGCCCTGGCCGGCCGTCTCCTCGCGCAGGGCGGCCACCCAATCCTGCGTCTTGTAGTTGAAGGCGGCGGCGGCGCCGAGGCGCTCGGTGATGAGGCGGCATTTCTCGTCGGAGCCGGCGGTGGCGTAGACGCGCGAGGCGCCGGCAAGGTGGGACAGCTGGATGCCGGCTATGGAGACACCCGAGGCGCCAGCGTGCCACAGGATGGACTTGCCGCGGGCGAAGCCGAGGACGAGGTGCAGCGCCTGCGTGGCGGTGATCCAGGCCTCGGGCACGGCGGCGGCCTGCTCCCAGGAGAGGGCATGGGGCTTGTGGATGAGCATCTTGGAGCTGACGGCCACGTACTCTGCGTAGGCGCCGCCGTAGGCCAGGCCAAACACCTCAGCGCCGACGTGGAAGTCGCCGTGGTCCCCGGCGCCCAGGGCCTCGACGACGCCGCTGAACTCGACGCCGAGGGTTGGCGGGGCCTGGGGCGGCACCGGGTAGTTGCCGCGGCGCTGGATGATGTCCATGCGGTTGATGCCAAAGGCCCTGACCTTGACGAGTGCCTGGCCCTGTGCGGGCGCGGGCTTGGGCGTCTCGGCATTGACGAAGAGAGCGTCCCGCTCACCCTTGCCGCCCCTGATGTCTGGGGGTGCGTCGATGCGCGCCGTGTTAGGTCTGGTCAGCCAGCCCCCGATGCCCCAGTACGAGGCTGCGGGTGGGGATGGATGCTTGCCATACCGATCGCCTTCATGGTGGCCGCCATGTTGTTACCTGTGCTTTGTCTTTGCCTCGCTTGCTGTTGGCTGAGTGTATTGGGAAGCGTCTGTAATTACCTCGTGTGATGCCGCTGACGGTGACGGTGACAAGACGCGGCGGATTGGTCGTCTTCCCTCCCCCTCCATCTTAGCCGGCACAGCCCGAGAGGCGCCAGCTACCCTATACCGCCGAGCGAGTTGGACCAGAAGCAACGTTGTACCTGCAAGCAGGTTGCAACATTGGTGACTTTGGACATTCAGGGCGCCTTCGACACAGTCCTCCGCAACAGATTGATCCTTCGCCTACGGGAGCAAGGGTGGCCACCGAACCTCGCGCGATGGGTCGGCTCGTTTATGCAAGACAGGTCGGCACGCATCCGCTATCAAGATATCGCAACGAATTCATCGCCTCTCCAGTGCGGGCTGCCACAGGGATCGCCAGTCTCGCCGATCCTCTTCCTACTGTATACGGAACCAATCTACCGCTTGGGCAGCTCAAAAGGGCGTTTCGGCTATGCGGACGACACTGCCATCCTTTGCGTCGGCGATAGCCTGGATGAGACGTCCGCCGAAGCATCTCATCATGTGCGTGAGCTTGTATCGTGGGGCGCCGCCAACAGGATCTCCTTCGACCCTGAGAAGACAGAAGTGATGCACTTCTCTCGAACGACGCCCAAGACGGCGCCGCCAGTGCTCCATGGCGAATTTGAGAAACGGCCGGGCCGGGCGATGCGTTGGCTCGGCGTCTGGCTCGACAGCACTCTGTCTTTCAAGACTCATGTCGAGAATGGACGGCCAAAGCGCAAGCAGTCGCCTTCCATCTCAGGAGACTGACAAACACCAGGCATGGTCCTCTACCGAGCGCTGTGCGACGAGCGGTCTGCGCTTGCGTCATTCCAGTGCTGCTCTACGCGGCGGAGGTCTGGTATCCTGGTTCTACGCGCCCGCGCTGGACCAAGCCGGGCAAGGAAGGACCGTCCAGGATCGGACACCTCGTAAAGAAGATGAGCAAGGCACTCTACACATCTCTTCGGGCTATCCTGCCAGTGTGGAGAACTACACCAACGAATGTTCTGCACCGGGAGGCAGGGATACCGCCGGTCCCTCTGCTGCTCGAGGCGCGCCGGACTGCATTTGCTGCGCGTCTCAAATCCCTGGACGAAGCTCATCCGCTCGTGAAGCGCACGTCGAGGCCAAAAGCCCTATACTGAATGAAATGATCAAGCTGAAGTACCAAAAGCAGCCAAAACCCTTCCGGACTAGGCTGCGGCGCTCCGACAATTGCTACCAAGCTGCCCAAGGCCTGCCTTGCTGCAGCGCGGATTTGTCGAAGAGCAGACTGCGCCTCTGCAGAGTGCATCGAAAAATGAGACGGCGAAGAAATTTCGCGATTGGCTCCAGGCACTATCGCCCCGAACTCTGGTCGTCTATTCCGACGGGTCCCGTTCTACCGAAGGCCACGCCGGATATGGCTATGTTGTTCATCGGGACGGATCCACCGTCTTGCGCGACAAGGGCCGTCTCGGGCCCGCCGAGATTTTCGACGCTGAGGCGAAAGGTGCGTTGGAGGGGTTGAAGGCTGCGGTGAGCCTTCCAGAAACTGACCGCATCTTTGTCTGCCTCGACAACCTCGCGACCGCAACATGCTTACGGGGCACGCCGAGCGACTCCTCGCAAGAGGTCTTCCTTGAGTTTCAATCTTTGGCGCGAAAATACGGAGCTGTGGAGGTCCATTGGATCCCCGGCCATGCTGACATCCCAGGCAACGAGGAGGCTGATGCTCTGGCAAAGGCGGGAGCATCACTGCCAGAACCCGCTGATAACGTCCCGACGCTAGCGCACCTGCGAAAGATTGCCCGACAGCAGCCGGAAGAGGCTTTCAAGGCCTGGTGGGAAGCCTCTGCGCCGGGCGATACAGAGACCTGAGGCTTAAAGCCACAACCAGCTGCCCGTCAGAATTGGCGCTCTCTCGGCCCCTGCTTCGTAACTTGCGCAGCAAGAACCCACCATGGGGATTTTGCTGACTACCACGAAAGGTTTGGTCACGACAATGCGCGACTGACGTGCTCGTGCGGAAGACGAAAGAGCCAGCACACATCTTTTACTGCAGAAAGGTTGCGCCACGGCATCGTATGCGGCTTGCACCTTGGCCGGCTGCAGCCATCAACCGCGCAATCGGCAAGGACTTTGACAAATTCGTCAGGCTGGCGAAAGCGAGCTCCTTCTTCGGAGGATCTGCCCACGCCACTAGACGGTCATCATTCTCCTCTCTCACCCTACCTTTTCCTCTCAATCCTTTCTGTTACCTGCTCCGATCTCGGGCGGCGTCAAGGTCTCGCGACCATGCGATCGCCGAGGTCATCAAGGGCTGCAAGGCCCCAGAAGCAAATTGGCTGATCTGACCACGGGACAGCTTTCTCTTCATGCCTGGACGTCCCGCTGACGGGCAACAGGTTTGTCATGAGCGCCGTTGAGCCGATGAAATGCTGGATAGTGGGTGAAGTGTACGATATGTAGCATGTAGACACCTGCTAGCTCAGCACGTCCTGTGCTCCCCTGCGGAGACCTGAGCGACCAAAAGTTGCTGGACGGAAAATACACTAAACTAAACTAAACTAAACTAGAAGCAACGTTGTATCCTGCTGCCCGGGGGTAGGGGGTAATAAATGGGGGCTGCACCTCTCGGTGGCTTTTTCTGGAAGAGGCGTGGTCCATTTGGCCGCTTCTACTCCGTAGGCACGAGCCAGCTAACATGATGGAGCCACGTCGCCAATGGTGCACGACCATCGAGCGCCACCAACTAGGATGAAACCAATAAACGACTGGCAAGCATTCATTCCCAGCCACATAGCTCTTCGGGGCGCGAGCAACTGGTCATGTTGGTGACGAGGTAATAATTAAGGACGCAGCTGTCTTGGCTCTCAGGTGTCACCGAGGCTATCTTTGGGGTCGGAAACTGGGGCCAATCGGCTCTCCGGGATCCTACAGGCATATCGGGTAATTTCCGCGCTGCACCCCAAGTGCTTGCGCCGCGGACGGGCGATCCGGAGAGGATGCCCGATTATGTACTGAACGTCTGTCATGCTGTGATCCGGGCAGACGGAGAAGGCGCCTTTTTTTCAGTCAAGCCTGTCTACAGTATTTCGTCAAGAGGCTTGGAGAGCGAACAAAAACAGCGAAGGGGTAGACGCCGTTGAAGAAGTGAAATGACGGCAGCGCCGCTGACACCATCTGAACAATCTCCCCACGCCGCCCATCTCGGCTCATGGTTGCTCATGCCTTCAAAACGAGATAGCGCGTGCCAACCATTGATGCCTTGGTCCGTTCGTATTGCGGAAACGATTAAGGCATACAATAGTCGATGCTGTTGGGAGTGCCTACACTGTGGGTCTATCAAGACTGATTTCAAAAATTCAATGTATGATTCTGTGAGGAAACCACCCGGTTGTGCAGGCAAAAGTGAAGTGACACTCCAACAGATGACCTGGCAGCGGACCCTATATGCCATATGGAGGTGCTGGTGGCAGCTGACAGATTCGTCCTGGCAGATCCAGCGCTTACAGGCTTTCAGCGGCCCTGCCACGTTCAAACGCCGTACAAACGTACATACAGTACAGTGCCTACTGTAGTTAGGTAGGCCCGCAACGGGCTCGGCCCGCTGTTAGACCAGTAAGCCATGACGATGGTCCAACCGTCTATCCACCCTCCCGAGTCCCGAGTCCTTTGCCGTCGTGCTGGCAACTGGGACCACAGTGGCATTCCGAGGCAGCAGGACCATGACCTTGACCAGAATTGACGGTGGCAAGAGCGTCGCGAGGGCTCCCGCTGGGTCACATGGGCATATGGCCTGTAGACGCTCCCGATGAATGGGAACGCAGTGACGACATGCGCCTCGGCAGCCGCTACCGCAGTGCACGGCTGAGGCCGAGACCCCAGTTGTGGAAGGCTCCTACGAGCACGTCGCGACAAGAAGAATTCGCCCGCGATAGGCGGCGGCGGCGGCAGCAGCAGCAGGAGGAGCAGCAGCGGCAGCAGCAGGAGCAGCAGGAAAAGCAGCAGCAGGAAGAGCAGCAGCAGCAGGAGGAGGAGGAGGAGGAGGAGGAGGAGGAGCAGCAGCAGCAGCAGCAGGAGCAGGAGCAGGAGCAGCAGGAAGAGCAGCAGCAGGAGGAGGAGGCACAGCAGCAGCAGCAGCAGCAGAAGGAACGAACCCTCAACACGCTTTTCCACGCACGCAAGCTCTGGGTACCTGAGCGCGTGTTACTTGCTACCTTGACTCAAAGCCCTCACAGTTGGGCAAGTATAGCCATCCTTACCTCGTCCTGCCAAGCGTCTTCCACTGGTCCTTCTGTGTTCACCCCTGGGAGCACTTTTCCTCTCGGCAGATGCCCAAGCCTCGCAGTCTTGCCCTAGTGGCTGGCTCTTGGATCACAGTTGGCCAATGCAATAGAAAGAGCAAGTCCGCGATGAGAGCAGGAAAGTACGAACTATGGCAAATTCTGCAGGCCGTCCACCCCCACCCCCCCTTCTCTCTCCCGATCTTGTTGATGTTTTTAGGACAAGGACAAGGACAAGGACAAGGACAAGGACAAGGACGACGAAGACGACGAAGACGAAGACGACGAGATGGCTGTGAGCTCAGCCACGGCGCTGAGACGCCTCCAAGAGGCATTTGCGGCCTTGGCCGCCGCAGAGGCTGCGGGGTCTGCTCGTCTCCAGCGCGGCGACCTGGTCCGACTTCAGGACGAGCTTGGCCTGAGGCCCCCGTCTCAGCGCCAGCAGCGGCGAGAGGAGCGGCGGCTGCAGCGGGTGGAGGACGAGGCGCAGGATGAGGAGGACGAGAAGGATGGCGATGATGAGGAGGAGGGGGGCTGAGAGAGGAGGAGGAGGATGGGGATGGGGTGTTGGGGGGGCTCGACGACACCGACGACGAGGACGACGTCGACGATGAGGTGCTCGTTCACGAGCCGGCGGGTCGAGGGAGGAGGAGGACGGTCGTGCGTGCGCCGGGGGACGAGACTGGCGAGGACAGCCAGTCGGACCACGGCGACGTTTAATCCTACGTTTTCCTTTGTCTCTATCTTTATTTTCGTAAGTCTCCTAACCCCCCTCCTTTCCCCTACCGCGCGTTTCTAGGCCATTCTGACCATTTGCAGCACACCGATCGCGGGTCCAATATACTTATCCCGTCCGACCGACGCCGGCCTCCCCGTGGCGGACGGGGGAAACCCTCCAGTCGTCCATTGCTGGAGGGGCTAACAGGCGTTCACTCAATCACTCTAGTCATCTCGAGGCTCACAGAAGGTTGCCTCGCTCACAGCTCAAGGTCGACCTGCTTCTCATCTCGAAGCGACCCCTGGCCGTCCTTTATGGCATCTTTCCGTCGCTCGTCCACTACTCCGTCGTTCGTCCGTCGTCCACCGTCCGTCCGTCCAAAAGTCCTGTCCGTCCAAAAGCCCTGTCCGTCCAAAAGTCCTGTCCGTCCAAAAGTCCTGCTTCTTTTCATCCCTCTTGGGTTTGATCCAATTTCTCTTGCCTCCCTCCTCCAGTCCGTCACACTGCTGCAGCAAAATCTGCCCCACTAAACGCTAGATTTGCGAGATCGTTCAAGATCATGACCACAGCTCCCTCCATTCTACCTGGTGCGACAACATATCATGATGCCAGATTTGAAACGCTAGTTCAGGAAGCCACAACAAGCTGCTCGCATGCAATATTGGATACGCACAAGCTCCAGGGATTGCCATCCGCATCACTGGTCCAGTCACACAATGACTGTTGGTATGTCCCAGCCAGATCTCCCTGCCAATGCCGGACATCCAAAAGCTTACAACCTTCGCAGTACCAGTGAGTTGAGCCAGAGTTAAAGCGCCGATATTGGATGAACTTTCTCCTCAAGCCTCCCAGCATCCAGCCTCTCGAGATTTTACGTCAGAAGCCGTTGTTCGGCTTCGATGCTACGACAGACACCAGTCCCCTTCTCTTCCCTTCTTGTACTCATGCGACACTCTCACCCCGCAAGAGAACCCGACACCTCTGTTTTTTTTTCACGGACCTGAAGACGAGAACAGACGTACGACACGCGAGTCCATCACCCAATGGCCATCACACCAAGCAAGCTGCATCTGCTGCTGCCACAGGCACGCTCGTCACTCCGTGGTCCACGAAACTGACCACACCAGTCTTACATTAATGATGAACACAACCTTTTGATGCTCACTGGACTGCGCTGTTGGTGAAGTAAATATAGTCTGCCCTCACTACGGGCAGTTTTGGCATGTAGTGTAGTTTAGCTCACGGGTAGCGCGTCTCCTCTCCTCATGGTTCATGTATATAAAAGAGACTTACTCAAGTATTATATCGTTCCGCAACCATGTCTTAAGGTTCCTCGACTTAGTCCGGTCTAGACTTGGACAGCCACGCAGTTGCCAAAATACGCCTCCTCTTGCTAGATGGTGCCCGCTTTACACTTTTCCACGACGCATTGCCGCGGCACCAAGAGCAGGAGCAGTGTCGAAAGGAAGCCTCTACTGGCCGTGAGTAAATACATGCCCGAAGCTCCCGTGACCGTGTGACAGGAGTAAAAGGTAACCCATGACGGAAGGCATGCATTCCGAATCTGGATTCAGTTGAGGCCACTACGCAGCTGGAAATCTTTTTTCTGCTTTTTTTCTGCTTTTTTTCTTAGGGGCCCAAGCCAGTTTTCGCCGTTGAATTCTCCGTGAGTTGAGTTTCAAGGCGTTAAAGTCAGGCTACTCGCCTATATTCGGCAAAAACCTACTATTTACAGCCTCAACGCCACAATGAAATGTCACCAGTCCACGGAGTATGTATTCCCGATCATGTCCCAACGGCTCACGATGACCAGCGGGGACGTCAAGTATCACGACTTGGTGAGCGAGACGCACCTACCAAGAAAATTACTTGGCGGCATCTCACTATATCAGCGGTTCTGGGAGTCTCGACACATTTCGGAGGGTTAAACGTTGGGGTTGAACTGGGGTCACGACAGATGGGCTTCAATGGAGGCAGTCTTGTGGTCTGACAAGCTGATAGATGGTGACGATGGATGGAATTCGGCTATTTCCATTCTCGAACAAACCTTGGTTTGTTCGCGAAGCAGTAGGATCTACGGTAGGGCATAGCGCGCGCGGTGATGGATCAAGGCCCGGCGGCGCAGTCTCTGGAATAATATTAGTTGGGGAGTTTGCAAATAGGTAGCGTGTTAAAGCGACATGCTAGTGCAAGGCGCAGTGCTCTGTACTGTACTTTCGCAAGCTGCGATTTTATATAGAATTGGCGGGCTCCCATCGGTGCAGAATAAGGCGCATAAACGACTTACAACAGCACCTTGTTGTTGCATGTCCATGTCCAGGTCGGATGTTCCTGCTCGGAACTGAACAATCTTGCGGCGTCGTGAGTCGCCGGCAGTGACGGTATAGCTGCATTGGCCCTGGATAGCAACTGGTCGAGCAGGTGGTCCGACGAGACGTTGAGCTCGGTCGTCGCACTCGTGTCGTGTCGCATCCGCGTGATGGTGGAAAAAGGCTTCGATGGAGTCATCCAGGGAACACACCACGTATTGGGGCGCTATCGTATGCAAGCCAAGTATGTGACGGGGTGAGTGGTGAGAATTGAGCAGCTGATTCAAGAAGACCTTTGCGCTGCAGCTTAATCTACGTTTTGCCCGCACGCGGCCTCCAACGACCGCCAACTATAGATGCTGCTTGAGTTGTTTGCGGTGGACGAACGAGAAGCCGGTTTGACTTGTTATACGCATTTCAAGCCAGTGCAAGTCTGCAGCGTTGATGCCGTCACACTTTGCAAGTTGGATGCCGGACGGACGCAGTTACACCTTGCCATTGGCCCTCGCGACTTGCGAAGCAACACTGGCAACCAGACTGGCAATTGCCCCATTGCTGACGCGGCGGCTTACCCTTGGTATTTATATCCGTACGCCCACGTTTAGTTACGGGGAGCGCACCAACGCATACAGTTATAATTATCCCAAGTTTGGCCATGGGCGCGCAGAAACGGGCTTTTACAGTAACTTTCAGGGGCATGGGTACCTGTCAAGCTGTAAGATACCGCTACACCATGCAAAATAGGGCACCCCTATTGGAGGTGTTTATTGGAGGCGTTGCTAACTGGCAGCACTGTAGGTACGACAGAGGATGCACCAGCCTCAACTGTCATGCGCTGTGCGTTTTCTTTGCTTGGCAGCTGCCAGTGAGTGCCCAAAGGGTCGTTTCGTGGCCACAGACAAGGGCAAGGTTGTCGTCGATGCATCTGCCGGGTATGCACAGCACGTACTGTAGAAAAGGATGCCCTTTGATCTTGGTGAGCCTCATAACAGCGGATAGAACAAAAAGTGCGGGATTTCCTGTTCCTGCATTAGCGCCAACAGCGCAGCAAAGCGGGGGGCCGTCATAAGCGTCTAAAAACAATGCACCCCCACCCGTGGTTCGTCCCTTGCCGATGGAGGAGAAAGGCCGAGCCAACGGGCTCGCTCCGCTGCATTGTCTTACCTACAGTACCTCGGTGCCTATCCGTACTCCGTACTCGGTTCAGTACCCGGCTGGTGTCCCTTTTCTCGTTTCTCTTCCACCCAGTCTCGTGTCATTCTTTTGTTTCCAATTCTGTATTCTTGGACTCACACTTCGTATCCGCAAAAAAGCGAGCACATGGTGCCGTCCCCGCCATGCCAGCTGATTCGCCGTGTCACGCAGAGCTGGCTCTCTTTTCTCATCCGTCGTCTGGGTTTGCTGTTATACCCACGCGTGCCATGTCTGTTGGCCCATTCGACCGTGCGGATTCCACTCGTCCCCCGGGCCTCGGAGATGAAAAGCCCCTCTTGCCCTGAGAAGGAAGAAAGGAAGAAGGAAAATGCCCGGCGATTCGTCCGACTCCCCCGATGCTCACCTTGTTTTGTTTTGTTTTGCTCGTCCCCGCTGTTCCTGGAGGGCGTGTCGTCGATCTGCTCTAAAGTGGAGCCTGCCTTTGGGGCCGCCTCCACCGCCTCCACCGCCGAATCGGCCGTTCATAGTGCGAACGCGTGGACCTGCATCTGTCTGGCGAGCAGAGCCCTCGCCCATTGGATGTTTGTTTTGCGTGTGTGGTTACTCAAGCATCAAATTGTGCAGCATGGGGAGAGGGAAAAAAAAAAGCATGCGACATTTCCGAGTCCGCTACCAACCGAGTGCATGCTGTTGCTGCAATGCACTGAGGCGTGTTCCTGGCAGGGAGGGGTAGGCAGCCCCTCGTAGAGGGTACTTTTGCCGCGGCGGCCAATGCAGGCGTCGTGGGGGAGGCCGTGCCGCCGTGGGCGGTGAGGACGCAGCTGGAGTCGAGTACTCGGTACTCGGGGCAGCCACGCGCCTAATCTCACCTCCCCACCCCCCTGGAGCCCCTCCCCTACCACAGGTCGTAGCTTGTTCTCTTCCAGGCTCCATGGGGGGTGCCATGTACTCGGGACCTGGCCTCCTGCCTGACAAAGGCTCTTCCTCCACCTCGGGTGCTCCGTACCCAGGTAGTCTGTACGAGGCCTTATACAGCGGGCAGGCGTTCGGGCCACGGCAGAGAACCGACCCTCGATTGGCTGCAGGCCACTTGGATCACATCAACGGCCTGCCCCTTTTCCACCCTGGCTGGTGCGGCCCTGCCGTCCGTCCCATCAGACACCAGCAGACACAGTCCAATCTTTCTTTCTTTCTGTCTGCTTCCTCGACGCCTGCTTTGCCCCCACCCCTCGTCCCTCGTCCCTCGTCCCCCGTCCCCCGTCCTCGCTGCTCCTCATCTCATCTCAGTCGCTCCTCCTGTGTATAAAGATGGTCTCCTCCATGCCGCCCCTCCCTCTCCGCTCTCCTCCTCCTCCTCCTCCTCCTCCTTACCACACTCACCTTCGCTATACATACAACCTTTACCCTGACTTCGGTCAATTTCATTCGTTAAACTCGCCAGCATCATCTAATCCTACGCCCCATCTCCCGTCCCACTCCTAATACCGACACCATGAAGTTCACCGCTGCCGCCGTCCTCGCCGCCGCTGCTGGCGCTTCTGCCCACTATGGTGGTAACGCCACTGTCGTGACCGAGGTCGTCACTGCCTATACCACCTACTGTCCGGGTCCTACTCACATCACCCACGGCGACAAGGTCTACACTGTCACCGAGGTACGCATCATCAATCCGGGGGGCATTGCAAGCGACGCCGGCTGACTCGATACTCGTCTAGGCCACCACTCTGACCATCACCAACTGCCCGTGCACCATCACCAGGCCCGTCATCACCACCTCTGCGGTCGTCTGCAACAACAAGAACAACTGGTGAGTCGTGAGTCCTGACCAGCCAACAGGACTGTGGCTAACATCCCTCGTCCAGTGGCGGCAACTACAACAACAGCACTGCTCCCGGCCCTTACAACCCTACCGTCGTCCCCACCGCCACTGTTGTCCCCCCCGGTGGCAAGCCCGGCAGCAACCCTGGCGGCTATCCCGGCGGCCAGCCCGGTGGCAACGTCCCTGCTCCTCCCGCCGGCACCGGCGCTCCCCCGGCTGGTACCCAGCCCGGCTCCGGCTCCCCCAGCGCCGTCCCCACGGCTGGTGCTGGCAAGGCCGCCGTCCTCTCTGGCGCCGGCCTGGCTGGTGTTGTCGGTGTCGCCGCCTTCCTGCTGTAAATCGAGCCTACAGTCACGTCGAGCCATGGTCCATCCCTTTGGATGAACGCCTGGCTCGTGGAAAGTGTTGCAGAGAGTGGAGTTGCGAGAGGTGAGGCGTCGGTTCACGCTTCAACAGGGTAGCGACTTTCTTCGGTTGTATAGACTTTGGGATACGAACATATGGACCCGAGCCCCGGAGACACGTTTGTATCTCATATTGTCTCGGAGCTAAAAGGGGGCACTGGGTCCTCGGACTCTAGTACGTGTGGACTTTATCATGTTCGGCGCTGGGAAATATCATGTGCCTTTTTCCCGCAGCAATAAGTAATGACGCTGTCATGGACTGCCATGCGGCCATGTTGCAGACAAATTCCTCAAGAAAGGCTGATTGGTTCCCCCCCGACAGGATTTGCAACGTTTTGATTCGACATGATGCTATGAACCCTGACTGTCACTACTCTTCGTAAGAGTGTCGTATTGCAGCACTCCATCAGCTGCTTTGCCCTTCTCCTGGTTCTTATCCCTTACACCAAGCTAAAGGGAACGCAAGGGGGCGGCGTAGGGGCGAGCCATGTGGCGTTGCGTCTTGTGACAGACGATCAGTCGGAGCAGGCCACTATCAGAGCGCGCAACTCCATTGGCCGGGCTTGGTGATAAGTTAGGGCGGTGGCAGTAAGCGAGATTGCTGCGCCCGTCACACTTGGACGAGAGCAAGACATGGATGACAAGGGGCAGACAGGATGGTGTCTGTCGGATTGGGGAATTCACATAAGCAAGCCCCTGGTGCGCTATGGAGACGGACTATTACCGCGTCGCAAAATTGGCCGAGCGGCTGGCTAGATGGGCACCTTTGCTGTTTGGTTGGATTATCCCGGGCGCTCTGTTCGGACAGGGGCTCGTGAAGGTGTCCGTGTGATGTTGAGTGACGGGAAGATGGGAGGAGGCTGACGACGCGCTTGCCGGTGAACCAACATAAGGTACCCTGTAGATAAGTTCCTGTACCTCAGCAGGTCCAACGGCGCCGTCAGAGACAAGCTCTTTTTGCTGGTGGCTACGTGTGTCTGTTTGTGTGGGAGGGGGGGGTGTTGTTTGTCTCTTTGTTTCTTGCTGTTAAGCGCTGGGTTGCCACGTTGGCCGGCGGCGCTAACAGACCAGCTTTGGGAGGTTTAAGAGGGGCCATTCCAGCCGATTCTTTGGCGACAAGACGTTGCGGATCTCCACGGTGGACTCGACTGTGGGGGCATCGTGGGTTTTCCTTGCTAGGGGAAAGGGGCAGACGACCTTTTGCCGTGGCTTCATTCCGTCGCGTGGAGACCGGATTTTGTGATTACGGCCCGGGGATTTCTGGTGTTTATTTTGGGAAGAAGAGGAACTTAAGTCTGGCTTCAAGATTGCCACGCCTCTCCACGGGCTTAGAATGCCAGGCTGGGTTGAACCGGCTCTTGTCAGGAATACCTGCTACCCTAGACCTACCTCATGATGCAGAACGTTCTAGTCCCCATTACTCGGCCTCCGGAGATCGGCCTCCGGAGATCGGCCCCCCTCCGCCGGGAAAGCGGAAGCCCCAGGTCCGGAACCCGCTCTCCGTTCCTTCCTCCCCCCGCCCTCCTCCTGGAGCCCTGCCCCACCGCCAAAGTTGCTCTCTCGCTCTCCCCTTTTACCCCGCCTCGTCACACGTTTGTCGACCTCAGCCTCACCCCCGGCCGTGGCACACCATAGCCGAGGATCAACTGAGCGAGGCTGCCGGATGCCCAGACCCATGTATATGCATCGCCCTTTGCCGAAGCCGTGGCGCCGGCAGTGGCCCGGGCCATGTGGTGGCTGTGCCTGAGACACAACCTCGTCCTCCGACATCGTCAGATTCGCCCAAGACTCACGCACAACCATCCCGCTCACCGTCCGCCTCGGGCACGCGATAAGACACAGGCAGTCTCGACCACGGAGAGGTGGGCGAGACAAACATGACGCACCCGCAGGACGACGTGCTGCGCTCCAGCCTCGAGCAGCCCGAGGCCTTCTGGGCCCGCCAGGCCGAGCACCTCGACTGGCACACCAAGCCCGAGACGGCGCTGCGCAGGACGCGGCGGGCCCTCGGTGACGGCGATGCCTGGGAGTGGTTCCCCGGAGGCGAGATCTCGACCTGCCACAACTGCCTCGACAGACACGTCGTCGCCGGCCATGGAGACCGCGTCGCCCTCTACTGGGACAGCCCCGTCACCGCCACAAAGGAACGCTACACGTATCGCCAGCTGCTCGATGAGGTCGAGGTCCTGGCCGGCGCCCTGCGGGAGGAAGGCGTGCGAAGGGGAGATGTCGTCATGCTCTACAGTAAGCTCCAAGCTTCACCGTGTCTGGGACAGCCGGTGACCTCCATCCACCGCAGGCGGATGATTGACGACCACCTGGCAAGCCAAGAGCTAACCGCGACCAACCCAAGTGCCCATGATCCCCGCTGCCGTCGTCGGCATCCTCGCCATCAACCGCCTCGGCGCCGTCCACTCGGTCGTCTTTGGCGGCTTCGCCCCCAACGCCCTGGCCCAGCGCATCGACGCCTGCCGCCCCGTCCTCCTCCTGACGGCCTCGTGCGGCATTGACGGTGCCAAGCCGCCCCAGGCCTACCGCCCGCTCGTCGAAGAAGCTGTCGGCCTCGCCACCCACAAGCCCTCGCGCACCCTCATCTGGCAGCGTGAACAGCTCCGCTGGACCCCGGTCAACCGCCGTGACGGGCAGGCCACCTGGCAAAAGGTGACGAGGAGCGCGCGCGCAAGGAATATCCGGGCCGACTGCGTGCCCGTCGGCAGCAACGACACCGTCTACATCATCCACACGTCCGGCACGACAGGCGCGCCCAAGGGAGTCTCGCGGGACGCGGCCGGCCACGCCGTCGGGCTGCACCTGTCCATGAGCTACCTCTTCGGCATCCACGGTCCCGGGGACGTCGTCTTCACCGCCTCCGACATTGGCTGGGTCGTTGGCCACTCGTACATTGTCTACGCGCCCCTGCTCGCCGGCGCCGCGACTGTGCTCTACGAGGGCAAGCCCGTTGGCACCCCCGACGCCTCTGCGTTCTGGCGCGTCGTCGGCGAGTACAAGGTCAACGTCATGTTCACAGCCCCGACGGCTCTGCGCGCCATCCGCCGCGACGACCCGGACAACCGCCTCCTGGCTCGCGTCGGCGAATCCGGCGGCCTGCGCTCCCTCCGCGCCCTCTTCCTCGCCGGCGAGCGCTCCGAGCCCACCCTCGTGTCCATGTACCAGGACCTGCTCGCCCGCTACGCCGCCCCCGAGGCCCAGGTCGTCGACAACTGGTGGTCCACCGAGTCCGGCTCCCCCATCACGGGCCGTGCCCTCGTTCCCGACGCCGCCCGCGATCGCGCCGCCCCCCGCAGAGACCAGGCCCCGCCTGCCATGAGGCCCGGCAGCGCGGGCAAGGCCATGCCCGGCTTCGACGTGCGCGTCGTCGACGACGAGGGCGCCGAGGTGGCCAGGCGCACCATGGGCAACATTGTCCTGGGCGTGCCGCTCGCGCCCACGGCCTTTCGCACACTGTGGCGCGACGACGAGAGGTTCTACAAGAGTTATCTTGCCAGGTTCCGTGGCAAGTGGTTTGACACGGGCGACTCCGGGTGGATCGACGATGAGGGTTACGTGCACGTCATGAGCAGGAACGACGACGTGCTCAACGTGAGCGCGCATCGGCTGTCCAGTGGTGAGTTGGCGTTCCTCCATCCTCCCTTTGGCTCGGGGCTGCAGGTACTTGGGCGAAGACACATTCACTGACGTGGAAACACCATGGCCCAGGGGGCATTGAGCAAGCCATCGCGTTGCACCCGCAGGTGGCCGAGGCCTGCGTCGTGGGCATCCCGGACGCGCTCAAGGGCCAGCTGCCCTTTGCCTTTATCACGCTGTCAACGGCGGAGCATCCGGCGTCGGCGGTGCCCGAGGAGAAGCTGGCGGCCGAGATCCAGGCGCTGGTGCGGCGGCAGGTGGGCGCCATCGCATCGCTGGGGGGCATCGTGCAGGGCCGGGGCATGATTCCGCGGACGCGGTCGGGCAAGACGCTGCGGCGGGTGCTGCGGGAGCTGGTGGAGAACGCGGTGCACGGCGAGCTGGAGCGGGAGGTGGCGGTGCCGAGCACCGTCGAGGACGCGGGCGTCGTCGAGGTGGCGCGGGCCAAGATTGGCGAGTACTTTGGCCGCAGCGGACACCGGCACGGGGCTGTCGAGGGGAGGGCCAAGGCGAAGCTGTGACGGCTGCTGGTTCGCCCTGTGGTCGTCTGTCTCCGGATTCCACCACCGGGAGTGTCTAACGAAGCTCAAAGATCTCATTTCAGGGCTCCTCAAAGTCTCTACGTGCGTGCCTCAGTCAAAGGGGAGGTTTGACACTACAGGAGGTGGTCACTCCTCTCGTGTTACTGGCTCTCGAGTCTTCCTTTCTCTTCCTTCCCTACATCCCCGCCCGGAGAGCGTTGAGATGCCCATCCATACATGTCACTCTTGGCTTCGCCGTCGTTAACGACAAGGCCCCAGCAAAGCAGAGAGAAAAGGGCGAAAAGTTCATCTCCCACCGCTTCTCTGCCCGCTCTCCCGGCGTTCCACATGGCACGACCCGGACACCGCCATTCTCGGCACCAAGAGCCATCTGCCGTCCGTCGTCTTGGTAACACGACCCAGCGGCCAGTCATCATCGCGGCGCACGGTGCCACACGACGCCCTGGCCCCTTGTCCTTGTCCTCTTCTGTTACCAAGTACGCTGCGCGCCCAAGAGCCACGCGATAGTCCTGCGAGCTCTGGTGACACCGTCTCATATCCTTGAACCCCCGCTCGACTGATTCACTGTTTGGCTGGCGCACACGAGCGGGGGATGGAATCAGAGGTAGGGAGCCCAAGGAGGGGAGTGGGAGAGGAAAGCAAAGGAGGGTCGAGGCGATGGAGGGGCGGAGGCGGGATGGCGTGACGCTCGCTCCCGCCGCTTTGCTCTGCTTTTCTAGCTTGTCTTACAGTGGGGGAGGGGATGGGGCTTGGCGTTTCCCGTCGAGCGAGGCCGTGCAATACCGGCGAGGGGGGAATGCCGGAAGGAAGGGGATTGTGGCGGTGGGGGGAGGTATGTTGCCGCTGCCGTCTATCGTATACGGAGCGGGAGAGGAGAGGTTTTGGAAAGGTGACACATGGAATCGCGAGAAGACGGAGGGAACATCATGGGCCAAGAATTTGGAGGGGATGCTTCTCTCTCTGCTGGCGAGGGTGGGCGGGTGAGCTCGTAGAAGAAGCGAGGGGGAAGGGAGAGGAGGCTGCCGTGTAGACCTCGCAGCCTCAGATGTGTGCTCCCTCCCCTCTTGGCTTTTTTTGATATCTCCCGAGTTTCGTGATGCGTTACTGTAGAATGGCCGAGCGAAACGAGTTGGGGAACATGAATGGAATCGCCTGTATGTCGTATCAAGGCGTAAACCCAGCCACCCTTGGTCTTTCAAAAGATAGAACTCCATGCTCAAGCCCAAGAGAGCCTCTCAAAACGCCAGAACGCAACGCCGATGCTACCGCCGCCAACATAAGCTCTCTGACGGCCCGGGTTCCCGTCTCCCCGTCGCTTCTCCTTCAACCAGCCGTCGACCCATGAGCCGAGTAGAGTCGGTAGACGCTATGCTGGCCGCGGGCAGCCACCTTGACAGCCGGGAAGCGCGCCTCGGGGAGACGAATACCGGCCTTGACGCTCTCCAGGACCCTGCAAGGTAGGTGGTCAGCCCAAGTCTAGTCGACGCACGACACGGCATCCATAAAGACGGAGCTCCGGAGGGGGGGCAAAAGGACGAACCACTCGACGTCGACGTACTTGACGGCGCACCCGGCCGAGCGGCGAATCTCGCGGTCCAGCTTGCCGCCGGCGAGCCCGCCGCCGCCCGTCGTGGCTGTGAGGCGGCGGGCGGCGGCGGCGGCGGGCGGGCGGGCGAGGACGACGTGGGTGACGGAGCGGCGGGCGAGGTGCAGGGACATGTGGGCGCCGTTTTCGCGGAGGAGGTGCTTGAGGCGGTGGTCCGAGACGAGGGGGTATGTGCTGCCGTTGACGTAGACGACGACGCCGTCGAAGATGGCTCTTTTCGAGGATCGCTGTGGCCCCTGTTTCTTGTCGTCGTCGTTGTCGGCGACGGCGGCGGCGGCATCCGTCTGCGACTCTTCTTCTTCTTCTTCTTCTTCTTCTTCTTCTTCTTCTTCTTCTTCTTCTTCTTCTTCTTCTTCTTCTTCTTCTTCTTCTTCTTCTTCTTCTTCTTCTTCTTCTTCTTCTTCTTCTTGATGCTGTTGCTGCTGCCCTTCCCCGCGCCGCCGCCGCCGCTCCATGCTCTCCTCCCTCATGAGCCCCGGCCTCGCCAGCAAGTCGGCGACGCTCCTCGGCACGGGGGCCGTCGGCAGCCGGGCATCGTCACCCGCGGGGCCGCCCCGGGCGCTGCGGAACTGGGCATTGAGCTTGCGGCCGCGGGCGTCGCGCCACGCCGTGCCGGGCCGGTGGTCGGCGCGCTGGTGGCCCGTCGACGACGAGTTCCACGGGTCGAAGCGGACGGCGTTGCGCGGCCGGAGCGGAGGCATCCGTTCCCCCCCCCTCGGGCCCTGTTCCACCCCCTCCCCCTTTGCCCTCTAGATTTGTTGTTGTTTTTGGTCGTCGGCTTTTGTCGCCCGCTGGACTGGCCGCGCGCTCCTTTGGCGACGGTGATGAATGGCGGTTGCAGCAGGCGGTGACGCGGCGGGGTGGGATGGATGTCTCTTGTTTTGCAGCGTCGAGGGAGGCTGTAAAACGGCTTTGGACAGCACGCTTGAGACAAGAAAAGGGCGGCTGCTGCTGACTCGTTGGGCGCACGCGCCGGTCTTTGGAATCGTCGGTTCGCGCGCCTCCATCTGCCCCGACTTTCTCGCCGGCTCTCCTCTTCTTTGCGCTCTGTCAATGCGCCTGCGGTGATACTACTGACAGTGGGTAAATACACACACACTCTCTCTCAGATATTTTTATATACTTTATTATTGCCGTGGCTTGAATTGTTGAGAGAGGCGGATAGCAAAACAAATCCGTTGGGTCTAAAACAGCTGCGTTCCACATCATCTCCGCCTGAAGCGTGATCTTGGCAGCATCTCCATTGTAAAGGAATGGAAGAAGAGAGTAAGTAGAATGGAAGAAAACACTCAAGAAACGAACAAGACAATGCCATCGAGTGAATCCATACGGCTTCTACATACGAGGTGTCGTCGCTTTCGCGCCTCCGCGCCGCCCGCGTCACCGTGGCGACGAGGCCAAACAAACCCCCTTTCGCAACCCATCAAAACCCCTCGACGCATTGATGGACTCCGATTGTCAGCAGGCGTCAGTGGGATTTAGACTACGGCCAGGAGACTGCATCCATCACGCACTCATGCCTGCCTACCACCAACCACCCACTGTACATACATGACAGACATACATGTACATACACATGATGCATACATATCCGTCCCTCCCCTTGCCTTGCCTTGCCCCCTCCCCTTTTCCGCCGAGAGGCTCTCGTCCTCGGGTAGTCTGGCTTTGCCTCTCTTCCTTGGACCGCATGCTCCTCCTCCCCCTTTGCCACCACCACCACCACCTCCTCCTCCACCACCAACTCCAACTCCAACTCCCGCCCTAGGCTTGCCTGCTGCTGCTGCTGCCCACGCCTCCGCAGCTGCCAGGACAAATGCAATGCACAATCCTGCAGACACGGACACGCTGATGGCGATGATGTGCAGAAGCCCAGCAGCAGCCCAGCAGCAGCAGCAGCAGCGGAAAAGCAGGCACCCCCAGATCGCTGCTGCCTCTGCTGCTGCATCTCAGCTCGCTCGTGGCCCGAGCCGAAGCTCGATTTCCCGGGGGGCGCGTGCTTGCGCGTACATACATGAACCGGCAGGGCTGCTCAGGGGCCATGCCCTGCCGGCCGCCTTGCCTTGCCATCCCATCCCATCCCATCCCTTGTTTAGAAAACATCATGGCGCCGGCAAGGACAAGGTGAGTAGCGGAGTGCGCGCCCTGTGCAAGAGGCGCCGACTGCTGCCACCAACCTTCGCGGCCGCTTTGACATATTATCCCCGTCCCCCATGTACAGACATTGCCTCGAGGAAGACGACGCTGCATCGCCACCGGATACTGCGTGTCGAGTTGGCCTTTCCGTGTGACGGGCCCTGTATCCCGGAGCTGACGGACGGCGTCTCGTCGAAGCACGCCGGCACCGGCCCGGCAAAGCCCATCATCACGACGGCTTCTCTGCAGCAGACCGTATGTACAAAGTGCACAGTTTTCGGCAACCACCCAGAGTACGTTCTACACACGAGGGCACGTATACGGAAGTGCAGCGAGCGTGGCCAGCATCACGGGGGGGCGCCGCCGTCCCGAACATGCCTGCCCCTGCGCGCGTCGGAGCAAGCAAGCATCCAAGCGTCTCCTCAGTGCCTCTCCCCAACGCCGCACGCACAGTCCGAGCCGCGCCCCGGAAAGACTGTAGCCATCGTGTATCCGTACGTATCGCGGGCAAAGAAGCCATGCATAATCGCCCATGTCGCGTACATGAGTCCTTCATCTCTCGGCGCACCCCCTGAGCAACGAAACAAACAAGGCGAGGGAGGCATCTGGAGCACATCCTTCATCAAGTACTGCCGTTGCGTCTGATATTCCCCCCAATGCTTGCAGGCCTGGACGCATGTCCCATGGTCATGTTCCATGGAAACGTGCTCCTTGGGAAGCATTCTCGCTTCCTGCGTGCGATTCAGCTGCAATAATCACCTTCTTTCTCACTCGTCTTCCGTCCAGACTTACATGGCCTCGTCCCAGAACTTGGTCCGGCCCATCCTGGCGGCATTCTCAGCCCTTGATTTGCCTGCTTGTTACCCTGGGCAGACACGACGACAGGGGCGTGTTTTGATATCAGTTCACTCTCTTTCGCCACCTTGTCAGTCAATGGCGATCCTCTCTCTCTCTTCTCTCTCCGCCCCCCCGGTCTTGGCTTCGCCACCCTTGTCCGGCTCTCTTTCTTTATTCCCTCTCTGATATTTCATTTTTCCTATAACGGCCAACCAACCACCCAGTCTCCTCCCCCTCCAATCCTCTCTGCTCAGCCGAGACACGTTGCCGTGCCGTAGTTGGCACACGCACACACACGGGGAGAAAAAAGAAAGAATCTTGGCCAGGGACAAGGAAAACAACGCGGTGAAAATCCCAGCCGGGACCGGGATGGACCACGACCAGCCTCTCCGGCCGCACCACAATCAACTCCGAAGCGGATCAAACGCCATCGTCTCCCCTGCTCTTGAGGGGGGGGGGGTTGTAGTTGCTTCATTGCCCCCTCCCCGGCTCGCTTACATGGCTCTTAACTGTACTGTACAGCCCGGCACCACCACCACCTCCACCCACACGCCTTGGTTGCTCGGCCCAGTGTCACTGGTTGATCATCACGTAGCCCGGCCCCGGCCTGGCCTGGGCCTTGTTTTCCTCCTTGCGTCGTTTAACGCCGAGATGTAAACCGGTATAAGCAAAACTAGGAGACGGTATGATTACAGGAGGGCTGGGGATCGAGTAAACAACGCGGTTGTCGTGTTGGTAACCCCGTCTTCACTACGGATACGGGGTAGGCAGATGAGGCTCCGATTGCACCATCTGAGCATATGTACGAATATCCGTACTGTACATGCTTCGTGCTCCGTTGCCGCTCTCCCCCGGACTATGTTTGTGCAACATGAGATGCGTGCCGTCCGGATAAAGGATAAGCCCTGGGATTAACATGGCATGACATGGCATGACAGATGTATGTACCGCATACTTGCGTCCTTGTACATACGTGAACGTCGTGCACGCCTCCAGCCATGCCTGCCCCGTCCAACGGATCGTGATACTTGATGCGGCCGGTCAGGGGGAGGGGGGGGGGAGAGGCGGAAGTATCCCGTAGACTGTCACTCTCTCTTGGAGATAGAACATGGGTATAGCGAGTACCTTGCCTATCGAGGGCAGACGAGCTCTTTGCTCCTCACTCCCCGTCATCTCCTCCGTCTGACGGGGCCGGGCCGCCCCCCTCCCTCTCCTTCCATGCCTGCTGCCTCCCCATGAACTGCCCCCCGACTGCATCGGCAAATTACCTGTATGCGCATCATACCTGCAGTCCTGCCTCTCTATCTCTTGTCTGCCTCGCCCTCTGCCTCTTCTGTATGCGGCTCCTTGCTCCGTGACATGCTTTAATTAACACACATACCAACGCAGCTCCCCGGCCAAGAGTAACAGTACCGTACATGGCGGCATAGGGCGGGCACGTGGGAGGGTACAGCATGTCCATGCTAAAGCCAACATACATATGCTCACTCTTTTGCTTGCCTTTGTGCAGGGACGTGCCACTACTTCGCCATGCACTGGTGGTGGTCTCAAAGGGTCGTCATGACGGCCATTGATGCCACCACGCTTGTTGTCGACAAGGGTTCAGTCGCGTACTGTAGTGCTCATAACAACCATGTCCGCACCGCACTGGGTCTATCAAGTAATTATTTGCCCATTGAATAAGTGTACAGATATATATATATACACATCTCTCTCTCCGTAGTTAGAAATTCGTACACCACATCCTGATATCCCGATACCTGACCCGTATGTGTGTATGCACATGTATGCCCAACACTGTGTTCATGTATAGACGCAGCAACACCATGTACAGACAACAAGGCCTTGGCTAGGGCTGGCAGAATGGAGGGGGGCCACGGCACACGCGCAGCAGCAGCAGCAGCAGCAGCAGCAACGCGACCGTCGTCCCTGGTCCTTGCTTCTGAACGGGAGAGCTAATGCGTGCTGTATGTACGGAGCATGTCTCTATCCGTCCTCGGCACCCACACCCACCCGCACAAGCTGCAGCAGATGGTCGTGGTTGGAAGAAGTCGCGGGTTGTTTACAGAGACATGCTCCGCGCACACATGCATACATCGTACATGCCGTGTATACGTGTGGCCGTCTGAGCCAAGAAACTGGAGATGGCTTGTTTTGTCGGATCCCGTAGCCTGGAACTCTGGAGAAGGGGGAGGGCATGTCATGAGTTGGCAGTACAGTTTCTCCATCTAAAAACCTTGCTGTCAGAGACACGCGACACCACGTCAGCCTCCCTCTCCACTCCTTCTCTTTTTCCTTCGCGTCTTTCCCGCCTTGGATCGAGAGAGACAAGGGAGAGTTGGAAGTGGGCGCTCCCTATCGGCTGAGCTCCATCGCCTGCCCCTGAGCATATGGACTACGCACATATACGTACGTACGTACGTGTTCGCATGTGCAAAAGAGCCACAGTTGCAGGGCGTGCAGGCCAGACGGGGCACGCCGACGGTAAAAGTTTGTATTTATAATCGTAATTATCAGCACCGTCATTATCGTTGAGATCATTTTATTGGAACAGGATAGTTGACAGCTGATAGGAAAGGCAACCAAGCCGGGTTGATCCAACGTCCTTCTCGGGTTATACACAGCTCGTACTAGTACTGGGTACAGGAACATGGCTTGGATGTATATATATATATATATTTTGCAGTACAGTAGCATGGAATGGATGTATCTACATATATATACTACAGCA